ATAATGAAACTGATCATGAAAAATATGCAATCCATGTTAATAATATATCACAGCACACCATTTGAAGCTTTTGCTACGCCAGTGTTAAAGCCTAAAAGGGGTGAAGTGGTAAAAGATTTCTGGGCCAACTGCAGCTCTGCAAAACGTCTTCTATGAAATTCAAAGGCAGCCTCCTCTTGCTGTTCAATGATAAGGCTCCTGAGTAATCGAGGGTTACTGCAACCTCTTGGAACTATGAAAACTAAGTATCAGTGCAAATGCTTCTTAATCAAAAGGAACAGAGTGAAAGAAAGAGCATGTGCATAATATATACATATATCACTTTGAACTGATTCATGAAATCTAGGTTTCAAATTAGAGTATATCATGTTCTCACTTGGCGTAGGTTCAGTGTCAACATCTACGTAGTGTGCTGAGTAATAAGCAGGGTGCTGGTGCTCAATTCTGTCTGATTGCTTTCTGCATCCAAATTGAAGATCACATAAAAAAGCAATGATGGTACTATCATCTGTCAATGTCTCATTTTACTTCATCATGAAGGATTTAGAGAGTAAAAGTGAAAGGATATAGAGAGAAAAAGTGAACAGGTGAGTTTTGAGACTTCAAATAATCACCACTAACCACGACTTCACGTGCTTAGCTTTGTGCTTGAAGCTAACATGTTAGTGAAACTATAATGCGAAATTAGCATTAGGAACTACAATGCCAAACCGGGAAGGTACAACAAGGTATCAGAGATTGAACATGGAATTTACCTCAGCATAAGTTTTGGCTTCTCTTTGTAAGGTTTCACAAGAACCCTTGATTCGCAGACATAATGGGGATTTCCCTTATCCAAAATTTCTTTTACAGTTTCAGGATCATCAAATGTCACAAATCCAAACATCCTTCTTTCTTGGCTTGGAATCCTTACATCTTCAACTTTCCCAAAAGTGCTACACAGAAGAACATGTTAAAGTAATTTGAATCTTCCAACACAAAATTAACTACATAGAAGTTTGAAGCATTCATTCACCTAAAGTAGTTTGAAACATCAGCCTCGCTAAAAGTGCTGTCAGCTGGAAATGTCAGGTATATCTGTCGTGATGCACTGATGTATCTACCATAATCTCCCTTTCCATTGAACTTCGGAGCATCTTCAGCCAGAACAACCGAATGCTGCCCATGAGGCCTGGTAATCAACCATCACAAAATGAAAATTCTAGCATGATATATTCATCAAATTTTCTACACAAGAATCCAAAGGGAAAGTACAAATCTTCACCTGTCAATTAGCCTGATGCTATTTTTCAACCGTGCAAGAAGCTTAGTCAAACTGTAGCCAGATTTTCCATGTCTCTGACTCTCAGTGAGGTAGCCATCAGCCTGCAGCACCTTCTTATACTTCTCAAAGTATGCCATTGGAAGGGAAGCAATTGATATAGAACCACCCTTTTTCAGTTTCAGGAGTTCAACAATTTCAGACTCTAGTTGTGCCAGTGACCTAGGTGAAATCATCTGATCATCATTAAAACTATCATTTCCATACATGTGAGGGAATGCATCAGGGGGGCCCAGTCCATGATAGTATCTACAGCTATTTCCATGCTTACAAAATCCTTTGTTAAAGTAGTGACAGGTCTTGACTGGATGGTCGAACCTTCTACCAGCTTTTCCACCAAAATTACCAACTGATAAAGCATCTAAGCCATAGTAATCATTAGAAATACTTGGAATGCCTGAAGTCCCAACAGCACGAGAATTTACAGCATCCATATGATTCTCCAGAGTGAAGAACGGAGTTTGCTTTTGAAGTTCAGAGATGGAATCCAAATAACCCTGTGCCATATTTTCTGCATTGGCATTGTTAACAGACTGAGGATCCCAGAAGGGAGATTGAAGCTGGAAGCTTGGCGCTGTGGTAGGGGTGTCAGCTGTGATTACTGAAGTAGGGGAGATTACTGAAAACTGGGAAAAACCTGGTTGACAGTTCATGGGAGGTGAAATTGGAGGAATGATTGATCTAGCAGCTGACCTTGGAAGCTTGGTTCTGGTCTGGAACGCCACTTCACGGATTAAATGGTCAGGTAGTGAAGCCAATTTCGCCATTTCTTCTTCCCCATGTTCTTGGACAAGGAGATACCCTAAGATCTTTGAGGCGTTCTCAGGCTCAAATTTCTGAAGTTTACCTAAAATTATACCTGTGTACTCTGAAATATCCATAGCTTGAAGTCACTGCAAGGAGTTAAAACAACACTCAACAGAAATGAGTAAACACTGCTGAGAAAATAGACAAAGAGAAACAGTGGCCATAATTTAAAAACATCAAACATAAACGAGTCCTAGAGTAAGAAGAAGATAAGAAAAAAGTGGGATAAAACCTCAGAACAAGAAGTACGTTATTCCAGCAAAAGGTATCAAACTAGTCCATGAATATATTAGTAAGCAGTGAATCTATTATAGATCATAAATTATTTGTTTCCTAATTTGGAAATGAACAGTGAGAAATAATCGAATGCTCCCAAAAAGTACAAAAGCTGTACCCATCAAAAGCAGAAACATATGGTGAGAAATAATCAAATGCCAAAAGCAACACAAAAATTGTAGATTAGATTCTCCTGTCTTTCATCCAAGAGAATCCTCATCCGATCAAACAAAAGAAAAGAAAGCATTTATTTAAAATGTAGCAAGGTTCATACTCATCAAACACAAAAGAAGGACATAAGCAACCTGAAAGTGCTTCAAGCACAGATCTTTCAACAACCCTTTTCTCTTCTACATATCTCAGAGCTTCACCTGACATTCAGAGAGCAGTGTCGTCACAAGCTGAGGAAAGGAATGCTTTTGGAAAAGGTCCAGTGAGCAACACTCGCACACTAGCCACTAACACTCTCTGTTACGTGACTCATTCACTGTGGTGACTAATCTATATTTGGCCTTCTTTATACCCATCTTTTCAAGATCACACACAGCTGTCACGTAACCACAGATACCAGGCAAATTATTTTGCTTAATTCTCGAAGTCTATAACTGCTTCTCACTGACTAAAACACCCTAAAATTTATTCATTTTTTTTAATAAATGCTTATGATATATCTGCCATAACAAGCATAAAAGAATTTCTTAATCATAATATATTCAAAATATCTGCATTTCATTGTTACATATTATTATAAACATTAAGAATAGAAAAGGTCCGCCAATGAGCAATGTGCTAAATTTAGGAGTTGATAATAAGAACACGTCTGCAACCTATGAATGGCATAAACTGAATTTTTGTTGTGTCTCAGTGAGAAAAATTAAAACAGGGAAGTGGGGTCCAGATGGATCTGAACCACTGGGTTGGATCCTTCAGATTCTGAAACTCAGATCATGTTGGTGGGGACCATACCAAGAAGAATATGTATCTTCCATGCAAGTTTGTTATAAAAAGAAATTTTACTTGCACAACATTAAAAGATTAAATTAAATCTAAAAAAAATTCAAATAATTCAAATAATTCAAATAAATTAAAGAACTAAATCATTAGTTAAATCTTAAAAGTAATATTTAAAACTCATTTTCACAAATTTTAGGTTACTTTAAACCACTCCAATACACTCTAATTTAAATTATACAAAAAGTTATATTAATATAATTTTATAATTTAAAGATGGATAAATATATAAAACCTAATGCCACATCTAAACTACACGTGGCGTGATAAAGGGCCCATTGTTACCTATGCCACTACATTTATCTGTGTTGTGATAAAGTGGGGTCACTTCACGTGAGAGACCAAAAGACTTCCTCTTTTAGAGATGGTTTTTACTATATTCTTTAATTTGCTATATGTATGCAACACCATTTTATATATTATAAAAGAAATGTGTTTTTATTTGTCAACTATTAAATATGAATTAAACAATATCCATTTTTTATTTTTTTCTTTACGGATATTTACATTTTAAATCATTTTTAAAACTATTTTTTAATTTAATAACTAACACAAAAATAAAGCTTAATAATTAATTAATGTTTTACTGTAGTAAGTCTTCAACCAATGAAAGAGTTTAATAATTCATTAAATTGTATTTAATGTTGAAAATTACATTTAAGTAATTATCAACCCTTTAAATGTTTTAATTTTGAACAACATAACAAAGGTGCAAAAGAAATAAATATGTACAAAAGTAACGTACAATTATGTTGAATTTGGTCGATAAAATCAAATTTGATCGATTTTCAATCAGGATTAAATTGAGCGAATTTCGATCATGGTCGTTTCGACCAAAATCGTCTGATATTCAATTGAGGTTAACTCAATCGAATTTTGATCGAGATCAATTTGACTAAGTTTCATACATAGTCTTTTTGGTTTAATTAGGTTGATTTTAGATTGGGTTAACTCGACTCAGTTTCGACTATGCTTGTCCTAGTTGAATTTAATCGAATTTAAACTCTGATATATTTCAATATTTTTTCTAACTTGACTTGTCTCAATTTTTGGTATGACTTGACTCGTCTCAACTTTTTAATTATGTTATTGGTGGAAGAACCTATATTATGAATAAAGTGGGTAAATATTATTATTTTTTTTTTTAATTTGAGATTTGAGAAATTTGAGATTTCTTTGCAGGTTTGTTGTGAGGCACGATTCATCCTAATTTGGGGTTGATTTTCTGGTTTCTTTTCACTAGCTTGATGCATAGGGAAGAAGATTGTTGGTTGATGCACAAGGAAGAAGATTTCTGAGTGGTGCTTCATCATGGAGGATGAACTGTTTTTTTAGTTTTTTAATAAATATTTTTTACCCAAAAGACTTTGCTCATTAAATTAATTCATGTCAAACTGTCAGCTCATCAGAAAGTTAATCCATTAACTCAATTTAATGACAGAAAATCAATTGCTTTAATTTTTTACTTTTAAGAACTAAATTGAAAAAAGAAATAAGAAAAAAACCTATTTGAAAAAGCTCATAAATAAAGACTATGGTTTAACTTATCAAGAATATAACAAAGTGTAACTATGAATTCTATCAAGATCTACATAAACCGATTTTTATAGATCTGTACAGATTTTAAACATAAAAGTTTTGACTTTAACCCTCATAAAACAATTTTCCCTTTAAAATGATACAAAATTTAGAGACATTTATACATATTTTCTATCATCAAATGCAAACAACAACAAACTCCAACTAGTTTCAGTGCCCATTATTATTCCACATAATGGCCATTTGTAGCCATGTCGGTTTTCCAGATATGTTTGTTACTTTTACATGCAATCCAAAAGGGCTAAAAATAATAAGATTATTGACTGATTTAAGCTAACTCCATTAGTTCGACCAGATATAGTTTCCATAAATTTTAAGANATTCTGCATTGGCATTGTTAACAGACTGAGGATCCCAGAAGGGAGATTGAAGCTGGAAGCTTGGCGCTGTGGTAGGGGTGTCAGCTGTGATTACTGAAGTAGGGGAGATTACTGAAAACTGGGAAAAACCTGGTTGACAGTTCATGGGAGGTGAAATTGGAGGAATGATTGATCTAGCAGCTGACCTTGGAAGCTTGGTTCTGGTCTGGAACGCCACTTCACGGATTAAATGGTCAGGAAGTGAAGCCAATTTCGCCATTTCTTCTTCCCCATGTTCTTGGACAAGGAGATACCCTAAGATCTTTGAGGCGTTCTCAGGCTCAAATTTCTGAAGTTTACCTAAAATTATACCTGTGTACTCTGAAATATCCATAGCTTGAAGTCACTGCAAGGAGTTAAAACAACACTCAACAGAAATGAGTAAACACTGCTGAGAAAATAGACAAAGAGAAACAGTGGCCATAATTTAAAAACATCAAACATAAACGAGTCCTAGAGTAAGAAGAAGATAAGAAAAAAGTGGGATAAAACCTCAGAACAAGAAGTACGTTATTCCAGCAAAAGGTATCAAACTAGTCCATGAATATATTAGCAAGCAGTGAATCTATTATAGATCATAAATTATTTGTTTCCTAATTTGGAAATGAACAGTGAGAAATAATCGAATGCTCCCAAAAAGTACAAAAGCTGTACCCATCAAAAGCAGAAACATATGGTGAGAAATAATCAAATGCCAAAAGCAACACAAAAATTGTAGATTAGATTCTCCTGTCTTTCATCCAAGAGAATCCTCATCCGATCAAACAAAAGAAAAGAAAGCATATATTTAAAATGTAGCAAGGTTCATACTCATCAAACACAAAAGAAGGACATAAGCAACCTGAAAGTGCTTCAAGCACAGATCTTTCAACAACCCTTTTCTCTTCTACATATCTCAGAGCTTCACCTGACATTCAGAGAGCAGTGTCGTCACAAGCTGAGGAAAGGAATGCTTTTGGAAAAGGTCCAGTGAGCAACACTCGCACACTAGCCACTAACACTCTCTGTTACGTGACTCATTCACTGTGGTGACTAATCTATATTTGGCCTTCTTTATACCCATCTTTTCAAGATCACACACAGCTGTCACGTAACCACAGATACCAGGCAAATTATTTTGCTTAATTCTCGAAGTCTATAACTGCTTCTCACTGACTAAAACACCCTAAAATTTATTCATTTTTTTTAATAAATGCTTATGATATATCTGCCATAACAAGCATAAAAGAATTTCTTAATCATAATATATACAAAATATCTGCATTTCATTGTTACATATTTTATAAACATTAAGAATAGAAAAGGTCCGCCAATGAGCAATGTGCTAAATTTAGGAGTTGATAATAAGAACACGTCTGCAACCTATGAATGGCACAAACTGAATTTTTGTTGTGTCTCAGTGAGAAAAATTAAAACAGGGAAGTGGGGTCCAGATGGATCTGAACCACTGGGTTGGATCCTTCAGATTCTGAAACTCAGATCATGTTGGTGGGGACCATACCAAGAAGAATATGTATCTTCCATGCAAGTTTGTTATAAAAAGAAATTTTACTTGCACAACATTAAAAGATTAAATTAAATCTAAAAAAAATTCAAATAATTCAAATAATTCAAATAAATTAAAGAACTAAATCATTAGTTAAATCTTAAAAGTAATATTTAAAACTCATTTTCACAAATTTTAGGTTACTTTAAACCACTCCAATACACTCTAATTTAAATTATACAAAAAGTTATATGAATATAATTTTATAATTTAAAGATGGATAAATATATAAAACCTAATGCCACATCTAAACTACACGTGGCGTGATAAAGGGCCCATTGTTACCTATGCCACTACATTTATCTGTGTTGTGATAAAGTGGGGTCACTTCACGTGAGAGACCAAAAGACTTCCTCTTTTAGAGATGGTTTTTACTATATTCTTTAATTTGCTATATGTATGCAACACCATTTTATATATTATAAAAGAAATGTGTTTTTATTTGTCAACTATTAAATATGAATTAAACAATATCCATTTTTTATTTTTTTCTTTACGGATATTTACATTTTAAATCATTTTTAAAACTATTTTTTAATTTAATAACTAACACAAAAATAAAGCTTAATAATTAATTAATGTTTTACTGTAGTAAGTCTTCAACCAATGAAAGAGTTTAATAATTCATTAAATTGTATTTAATGTTGAAAATTACATTTAAGTAATTATCAACCCTTTAAATGTTTTAATTTTGAACAACATAACAAAGGTGCAAAAGAAATAAATATGTACAAAAGTAACGTACAATTATGTTGAATTTGGTCGATAAAATCAAATTTGATCGATTTTCAATCAGGATTAAATTGAGCGAATTTCGATCATGGTCGTTTCGACCAAAATCGTCTGATATTCAATTGAGGTTAACTCAATCGAATTTTGATCGAGATCAATTTGACTAAGTTTCATACATAGTCTTTTTGGTTTAATTAGGTTGATTTTAGATTGGGTTAACTCGACTCAGTTTCGACTATGCTTGTCCTAGTTGAATTTAATCGAATTTAAACTCTGATATATTTCAATATTTTTTCTAACTTGACTTGTCTCAATTTTTGGTATGACTTGACTCGTCTCAACTTTTTAATTATGTTATTGGTGGAAGAACCTATATTATGAATAAAGTGGGTAAATATTATTATTATTTTTTTTAATTTGAGATTTGAGAAATTTGAGATTTCTTTGCAGGTTTGTTGTGAGGCACGATTCATCCTAATTTGGGGTTGATTTTCTGGTTTCTTTTCACTAGCTTGATGCATAGGGAAGAAGATTGTTGGTTGATGCACAAGGAAGAAGATTTCTGAGTGGTGCTTCATCATGGAGGATGAACTGTTTTTTTAGTTTTTTAATAAATATTTTTTACCCAAAAGACTTTGCTCATTAAATTAATTCATGTCAAACTGTCAGCTCATCAGAAAGTTAATCCATTAACTCAATTTAATGACAGAAAATCAATTGCTTTAATTTTTTACTTTTAAGAACTAAATTGAAAAAAGAAATAAGAAAAAAACCTATTTGAAAAAGCTCATAAATAAAGACTATGGTTTAACTTATCAAGAATATAACAAAGTGTAACTATGAATTCTATCAAGATCTACATAAACCGATTTTTATAGATCTGTACAGATTTTAAACATAAAAGTTTTGACTTTAACCCTCATAAAACAATTTTCCCTTTAAAATGATACAAAATTTAGAGACATTTATACATATTTTCTATCATCAAATGCAAACAACAACAAACTCCAACTAGTTTCAGTGCCCATTATTATTCCACATAATGGCCATTTGTAGCCATGTCGGTTTTCCAGATATGTTTGTTACTTTTACATGCAATCCAAAAGGGCTAAAAATAATAAGATTATTGACTGATTTAAGCTAACTCCATTAGTTCGACCAGATATAGTTTCCATAAATTTTAAGATTAAATTTGAACAACCACGTGAGGACTTAACCAAAAAAACATTGCAAGGAAGGATGGTTGCATGTAAGTATTAATGTTGAGTACAAAATGAACTTACTTTTAGAATTCGTAACTATTTAAGGTAACAGTAAACATGTGTTCATTAATTAATTAATGTTCAATGCAGACTATACTTACATCCTCTTATCATAAAGGCTAAACCTAACCACTGAAATTCTTAGACCTTTGCTCGAGATGAACAAGCTCATATCCTGTAATAGCTACCTTTAATTAGGATAATAATACTTAATAACTAATTCAATATATTTACCGCACAACACTTGACGCCATCCTACATCGCACAATAGGTGGAGTCAGGAATTAATCAAAACAAAGGGAAACTATCCAAAATTAGATATAATAAAAAATATTAGGAACTCAATTAAAAAAGTTATTAAATGTATAATTGATAGATATGTTATATTATTATATATTTTATATAAACATTTTAGCTTTATTTTTTATTTCTTTTAGTTGTTATTATTATTTTATTTGTATTTAGATTTAATTTATATTTCTTTTATTATAAATATAATATTATATGTGTATATTCCATATAAAACAAATTAATCTTATACATATTTTTTATTATATTAAACAATTACTAATTTGGAACTTAATTAAAATTTCAATTTATATACTTATTTTAACAGTACAATTTAAATTTTATTTATTTTTTTTTTTATTATTAATTATTTTTAATCTTTTTTTTTTTTTTTCAAGTAAAAAGTAATAATTTATTTAAAGATTTATTAAATTATCAAAAGCCAAAAAATTAAATAACCGAGGGATGAACAAAAATGTTTAATATAATAGTTTTTTAAAGGTTAAACTCCTTCGAAAGTTTCTATTTATGTATGGTTTTCCCAGTTAGATCCCGTCTTATAGGTTTCGTCAATTTGGTCCTTTATATTGAAAAATTGACTCAATTGGACCCCTACCTTTAAATCAACTTAATGGGGTTAAGTTTTTGTTGACTTGTGAGGTTGACGTGGACATTTTGAGACGTGGTTTGCACAGACCATTCTACGTGGGTTTTTATTAATGAAATCTTTGTACGTGGCATTTTGTAAAAAAAACATTTTAAAAATTGGGGTTTTTCTGAAAGATTTTAAAATTATGATTCATTGAAATTTAAATTGGGTTTAAAATTGGGAAGAGGAAATTTGAAGCTGAGTGTATCACAAGCACACGCGAAGTCCTTAATGGAGAGGGAATATGGTAAATTAGGGCATTGGAGGTTGCTATATGGAGGTTGGACGTGAATCGCGAAGTCCTTCAACGTGTATCACCAACAGTTGGTGTGGATTTTCGTGGAAGGTTAGTCTCTNGGATTAAATTGAGCGAATTTCGATCATGGTCGTTTCGACCAAAATCGTCTGATATTCAATTGAGGTTAACTCAATCGAATTTTGATCGAGATCAATTTGACTAAGTTTCATACATAGTCTTTTTGGTTTAATTAGGTTGTTTTTAGATTGGGTTAACTCGACTCAGTTTCGACTATGCTTGTCCTAGTTGAATTTAATCGAATTTAAACTCTGATATATTTCAATATTTTTTCTAACTTGACTTGTCTCAATTTTTGGTATGACTTGATTCGTCTCAACTTTTTAATTATGTTATTGGTGGAAGAACCTATATTATGAATAAAGTGGGTAAATATTATTATTTTTTTTTTTAATTTGAGATTTGAGAAATTTGAGATTTCTTTGCAGGTTTGTTGTGAGGCACGATTCATCCTAATTTGGGGTTGATTTTCTGGTTTCTTTTCACTAGCTTGATGCATAGGGAAGAAGATTGTTGGTTGATGCACAAGGAAGAAGATTTCTGAGTGGTGCTTCATCACGGAGGATGAACTGTTTTTTTAGTTTTTTAATAAATATTTTTTACCCAAAAGACTTTGCTCATTAAATTAATTCACGTCAAACTGTCAGCTCATCAGAAAGTTAATCCATTAACTCAATTTAATGACAGAAAGTCAATTGCTTTAATTTTTTTATTTTTAAGAACTAAATTGAAAAAAGAAATAAGAAAAAAACCTATTTGAAAAAGCTCATAAATAAAGACTATGGTTTAACTTATCAAGAATATAACAAAGTGTAACTATGAATTCTATCAAGATCTACATAAACCGATTTTTATAGATCTGTACAGATTTTAAACATAAAAGTTTTGACTTTAACCCTCATAAAACAATTTTCCCTTTAAAATGATACAAAATTTAGAGACATTTATACATATTTCTATCATCAAATGCGAACAACAACAAACTCCAACTAGTTTCAGTGCCCATTATTATTCCACATAATGGCCATTTGTAGCCATGTCGGTTTTCCAGATATGTTTGTTACTTTTACATGCAATCCAAAAGGGCTAAAAATAATAAGATTATTAACTGATTTAAGCTAACTCCATTAGTTCGACCAGATATAGTTTCCATAAATTTTAAGATTAAATTTGAACAACCACGTGAGGACTTAACCAAAAAAACATTGCAAGGAAGGATGGTTGCATGTAAGTATTAATGTTGAGTACAAAATGAACTTACTTTTAGAATTCGTAACTATTTAAGGTAACAGTAAACATGTGTTCATTAATTAATTAATTAATGTTCAATGCAGACTATACTTACATCCTCTTATCATAAAGGCTAAACCTAACCACTGAAATTCTTAGACCTTTGCTCGAGATGAACAAGCTCATATCCTGTAATAGCTACCTTTAATTAGGATAATAATACTTAATAACT